CCCATGGTCAAAGTCCACTTCCCACCTTCTAGAGCAGCCAACAGACCCAGCCGCCAGCGACCAGCCAGGGCCAGGACAAGACCACGGGGGGCTCTGCTCTCAAGAGCTGCTGCTCTGAGCCCCTTCACTGCCCCCGTGGCTGGTCTCCTCCCGGAAGTCCTGCCTCGATGACCCTGACAACTGTGGAGTGAAGTCGGAACTCAGCCACATGTTTTTAAGCTTCTTGTTTATTTTACTAACGAGGTGTATTTTCCAAGAAAAGCAGATCTTCTTTGATCTGGTTAGTGGGTCTGTCCTTTCCCTGTGTGTGGAGGCAGAGAAAAGCCCAACACTTGCACGGGAAGAATTCTGTCCTAAAGGAGCCGGGCAGGTCTGGGCACCTCTGGGCGCAGAGCTCGGGGCTCGCCTGGGTTGCCGGTCACCAAACACGCGCCCCATGTCCACCTTATGCCGTCAGAGCTCGCAGGCCCTGACCGCCCTAAAGGAGACATAAAGATAAGCAGACTTACGTTTGACGGTGCCTCGAGCCTCCTGGAAGCCTGCCGCTTCAGAGCCCCAGCCCAGAGCTTCACAGTCCCGAGCGTCCGCCTGCCCTGGCCGGGCCCCAGGGCTCGGCCCTCCCCGGGCCCTGTCCACCAGCCAGCAGGACTTCCACAGCCCCACGCTCCGCTTGCGCCCATCCTCCAGCGTCTGGTACACCCAGTTGGGGGTGAAGGCCGCCACGTTGTTGAGGACAAGAGAGACCAGGGCCACCAGCGCTGCTGTGGCCACCAGTTTCTGGACAGTCATCGCCGACTGCCGGTGCTGTCCCTTGTCGTGGAGAAAGTCCCAGTCCCGGTCAGCTGCTGTGGCCAGGGAGAGCCGAGACCAGCTAGGGGCTGCTAGAGGACATCACCGCTCATTCTCAGTGGCATCGGGAAGGCCCATGTGACAGGTGCAGGTGAGCTCACCTCAGGCCCTCCCTACCCTCCTTCCTGCACCTGGAGCAGGGCCAGGCCTGAGTTGCAGCCAGCCTCTCGGCCCATCCCGGGGAATAAGCCGGGGCACCAGCGAGAGTCCAGAGTCGTGCGTGCGCCGTCTTCTTGGGAAGCAAGGCCTCTCCTTCCCACAAGAAACGGGAGAGGTGGGCAGCAATGTGGGGGTCTGTCTCACCTCACTGCTTAGAACCAGTGCCACAGAGCAAAACCAGCCGCCAGGCTCTGAGCAGGGCCGGGGGGAGCTGTGCCGGGAGCGGTTCAGCCTCTCACTGCGGGAGCCCCTGCCCTGTGCCTCTGCCACGAAACAGCCGGTCCTGGAAAGCAGCGAGCCTGCTGCAGGGAGGTGCATGTGCGTGTGTGTCTGTGTGTGCGCGCGCGTGTGCGGCCCCCCCTCCGCAGAGAGGAAATGGTTGTTTTTGAGGCTGTTTTTTGTGAGCTGGATGGAGGGCGTAGCCGACTGCAACAAATAGCAGCCAAGCCACGGCAGCCAGACGCTAACAGGATGTGTTTCCTGATAGGAAAGCAGGGAGGCCTTCTCAAGTCCTGCTCCAGGACCCTCCTCCCCTGCCCTCCCCACCTTCCTTTCCCAAGGGCAAGGCCTGGGGTGCCAGCCCACAGCAGACCCGTGGTCCCACCTGTGTGTCTTGGATCCTGCCAGCCTGGTGCTCAGGTACCACAGAACAGCCCCAGAGGCAGACAGTGGCCACGGAGCATGTTCCTGCCCTGGGCCCAGGGCCTGAGTGGGCAGGATGCTGGTGGCCAGTCACCCACAGCCATCCGCTGGTTCCCCCAGCACGTAGGCGCCCCGGGGCCTACCCTTGTCACGGGTTCACAGGCAGTAGACAAAGTGGCCGGGCCTGGTGGAGAGGCCCCCACTTGCCACCCAGATGGGGTGGGTCAGGGGCCCACACCCGCAGAACCACCAGGCTGGAGCATCATCCTGGATGGAGGTACAAGACGGTGGGGTCCTGGACACGCAGTACAGGTCCCCCAGCGAGGCTTGAGGGCGGAGGGAGTGTGATCTGTGGCCCGGCGTGTGTCTGTGCTGGCTGTGCATCCCAATGGGGGAGCTCAATCCCTTCTGCACGTACAGACACACGGGAGAAGGGGGGCCGCCCCCCAAGATGCCACGCCTATCTGGGGCCCCGAAGCGGCTGTGCACAGAGAGAAAGGCACCCACACACCCCATTACTAGCACGTGCACCCTGGACGTTGTGCAGTCAGACCCCTCAGACCCCGAGCTGCCCACTCATCGCCAGGTGCCCTCGTCACAGGGGAGGAGGCTGGGGTTGGGGTGCAGGGAGGCCACACACCTGCCGGGGACACAGAGGCGGTGAGATGAGTCCAGCATGGTGGGACTGGCCTGGTCCCCTCGGCTTGCCTGCACCCCACTCACCTCCCGCTTCTGGAGCTCCAGAGAGTTCCTGTGAGTCTAGAGCCCCAGCCCCCGTTATTTTGTGGGTTTTCTTTTTTGTTTTGGGGGCTTTTTTTTTTTTAGTTTTACAATTCATTTAATGGCAGCTGATAATCAAATTAGCAATGGTTATCTTCAAAAGTTATTAACACTTGCTGTGCTGTCATTTCTCAAGGATGATCAGATATCTAGAGTCACAGACATTTCCCACATAAGATGCATCAGAGGGGCGTCTAGGTGGCTCAGTGGGTTGAGCGTCCAACTCTTGGTTTCTGCTCAGGCCATGATCATGTGGTCATGGGATCGAGCCCCACATTGGGCTCTGTGCTCAGTGCAGAGTCAGCTTGAGATTCTTAACCCCACCTCCCCCTCTGCTCCTCCCCCTGCTCATGCGTGTACACGTGCTGTTTCTCTCTTAATACATAAAATCTTAAAAAAAAGAAAAAGATGCATCATATAAGTCAGACATGGTCTATCACCAGCATTGATAAAACCAGATCTAGGGAAAGAACTAGGTCTGGGGACACAGGCATGGTCTTAACATAGCAAATGTTTAGCCTGTCCTGATTTTTACAAAATCAGAACAGCAAGAATATTCACCAGTCCTGTTACTTTGGATCACATGTCTGTAGGGGGCTCTGTACCTGCTGCAGGCAAGGGGCGCCACCCCCACCCCCACCACCACCACCACTAAGCCTATGTCCCTGAAAGACAGGGGTCTTTGGAGAATTATCTGCCCTTCCATTCCCTGAGGGATTTGGCCTGTTTTCAGCATTTTTCCCAGCAGAGTTTGTAGCAAATGCATCAGCTGAGTTCTTGCTGCTACCTTCTCTCCTTGGTCTATGTTCTGCTTCAGCTTCCTGGGGGCTCCAGGGGGGCACCCATAGCCCTCCGCATATGGCCCCCTTCTCCCAGGAGAACTAGGACCACTCAGAGTCCCTAAGGACATAGTGCAGTGGGTTGCCTCCACAAGGAGGCTTAATGCTCCACTTGGAGAGATCAGCTTCCCCCCTTATTTATTTAAATCATTTATCCCTGGGTAGCCTTTGATGGCTGCTGGGTCAGCTCTATCCAGCTTCCCTACAGGTGATGTCTGGAGACCCTGCTCCATCCACTACCCCCAGATTCTAGCTGGGGGCCACAGGCCTGGGCACAGAATATGAGTTAGGAGTGACCCTGCCCACACAGGACTGTGGGGCCCACCCCAGATACCCAAACCTCCCCAGGGCCCTTCCCATCCTCCCGAGGTGTGCATGCTGGGCCCTGGGGGGTGGGGGGGAGTAGCAGCGCCCCGTGTGCCTGCCCTGTCCGTGCACATGACGGCCGGGCGGGCGGGAGCTTTGTCTCAGAGCAGAGAAGCTCGGGCTTCTTGGTGGGCCAGGAGGCCATGAACCCTGCAAGCCTGAGTGGCAGGCCTGAGAAGAGGGGCTTGGGGGGCCAGTTCCGGCAGCTCTCAAGAGAGGGCTTTCCAGAAAGGGGGGCCGTTTTCAGGCCAGGCCCCTGGGCAGCCGTGTGCCTTGCCCTCTCACAGTGATGAGGTGCAGATGTGAGTAGGGCGGGCGGGGACGACAGGAAGCGCTGGAGCTGTGGTGGGCTGGCCCCTGTCCAAAACCCAGAGCTCCACGTCCTGCGTTGGGGCCCTTCCCAGCCGGTAGGTCTCCGGCTGCTCTTCCAGTACTCGCTTCCCACCCACCCCCCCAGCTTGGTGGAGGCCACTGGTGGCCCTGCTCAGAGGGTGGCGTGGGAGCAGCCCGGCCTTCAGCGACCTGTCCCCCTCATGCACACAGCAGGCCCAACAGCGTTAGCCCAGGGAGGCACAGGGAAACCGAGTCAGGGAAGGGCTCTGGGACGGCCGCGGGTTTCTCTGCTTGTTTGGGTTTTCCACTTGAATCATATGTAGATATCAGCCACCTGTTTTCTGGACTTAGCAGAGGGTGAAAAGGGCATGGAGGCACAAGCGACCTTGTCCACACCCCCACGTGGGTCCCTGAGACCCTGGGGTATGGAGTATCTTAAAGAGGATTCCCACGCGGAATCCACTTGGAAAGGGAGAAGGGAAAGGCTTGTGTCTGGTCGGCGCCTTGCTGTGTGGAGCCCCGCGGTGGCCCGTGAGCTTGAGAACAAGGACGGAGTCCTGGGGACGTGCAAGATCATCCCCAGGACCCCCAACCTCTATTCAGCCCAGGTCAGGGGCCCACCAGCAGACCCCACACTGGGCATCATGCACTGGTCCTCAGGGGCATCAGGGTTGGGGCTCCCCACCCCCTTCCCCAGGCCCACTGGGGTGTGAAGGCTCTACAGCCCCTTTTCCCTGCGGGGTCCCTGCCGGAGGGCAGCTTCAGCACCTCCGTGGCTCAGCAGAGGGTGCAGGCAGGTGTAGAGCAAGGAACGTTTGACGAGCAGACGGCCATCAAAGCAGGGAGGAAAGTGGGTGTGTGGGAGGCCTGAGAGGGTCTGTTCCCATCAGCTGCAGGGGACACAGGTGGCCTTCAGCCAAGGGAGCGGTGGGGGCCCTGGTTTGCCATGTTGCTGTGTCTGGTATGTGTCTCGGGGGGTGGCAGGGGTGCGAGGGCTGCAAGCTCACGGAGCTGCCGCATCCCCTGGCACAGCGAGGCGGTCTGGGAGAACATGGCGCGCATGTGTGTGAAGACCCAGCGGCTGGACGTCGCCAAGGTGTGCCTGGGAAACATGGGCCATGCGCGTGGAGCACGAGCCTTGCGGGAGGCTGAGCAGGAGCCAGAGCTGGAGGCCAGGGTGGCCATGTTGGCCATACAGCTGGGCATGCTGGTGAGTCGGGCGCCGCCCTGGCGTGGGCAGGCGGGCAGAGGGAAGGCACTGGCCTTACAGGGCAGGTCATGGCCTATGCATGTCTGAGCCACTCGGTAGCAGGGAACAGAAACCCCCTCAAGGAGCTTGAGCCAAAAAGCAGAGCAAAGCCTCTCTCCTCTACGGGGCCCTCCCCGTCTCCTGCACGTACATGAGCTCATGGTCCATCATGCACCTGGGGAGCCAGGCAGGGAGGGGGCAGGCAGACACCCGAGTCAGCTCCCGGTCCACAGGACACTGCGGCGGGTGGGGTCTCCTCCCAGAATGCAGGACAGCCCCCCAGCCCTCCCGGCTGACACCTAAGTCAGTCTTGCTTTCTCGCTGTGGGACGGAATGCCGCAATGGCGTGTGGCATCACTGCATGCGGGGGCACACAGGCAGCTCTCCTGGAGCCGGAGGGCTGATGCACGCTCTCCCACCTCCAGGAGGATGCCGGGCAGCTGTACAGGAAGTGCGGGCGCTATGACCTCCTGAACAAGCTGTACCAGGCCTCTGACCAGTGGCAGAAGGCCGTGGAGGTCGCGGAGCTCCACGACCGCATCCACCTGCGTGCCACCTACTACAACTACGCCAGGCACCTGGAGGCCAGTGCTGACCGCGGCCTGGCCCTCAGCTAGTGAGTGTGGGGCCCCGTCCGGGCTCAGCCGGGATGGGCCCGCTTGCCTCCGGCTTCCCCCTCTGCCCCAGTGAGGCGCCCATAGAGTTACCTAGAGGAAGCTTCTAGACTGAGGCACTACCTCAGGGCAGGTGGTGGCCTTCCAGGTCTGCTGGGGACCTTGAGCTCAGTCTCACCAGGAGAACCTCAGACAGCCCGCCTCCCAGCCCGTGCCGGGTCAGGTCTCTGGGCCTGGGGTCGCTGGCTGTGCCATGGCAGCGCCATGAGCTGCTGGGCGCCGCCGTGCGGTGCTGAGACCGTGGGGAGGAGTCACTGTTTCCCTTCTCTTGCAGCTATGAGAAGTCAGACACCCACCGCTTCGAGGTGCCCAGAATGCTCTCGGAGGACCTGCAGTCCCTGGAGCTCTACATCAATAAGATGAAGGACAAGTAAGTGTTGCTGCTGGATGTCAGGGCCAGTGGGCGGACCGTGGGAGGGCCCGGGGGCCTCCCTCCGTTGCTTCCCGTGGGAGAGTGTGAGGCCCTGCTAGGGCGGGGCCTTTCCTCCAGACCCTGGGCTCTCACTCCTGGCCGCGTCACCCAGTTTGCACGCTCCCTCCTGGCTGCTGGCTGCGTGAAGGCACAGTGAGGGAGGCGTTGGGGACCCGGGGTCCTTTCCAGGGGGCGCAGGCCCTGAGTGGGTCTGGCGGGCTCCTCCCAGGACCCTGTGGAGGTGGTGGGCCCAGTACCTGGAGAGCCAGGCAGAGATGGACGCGGCGCTGCGCTACTACGAGCTGGCACAGGACTATTTCTCCCTGGTCCGCATCTACTGCTTCCAGGGCAACATTCAGAAGGTAGGAGCATCCGGGGGGCCTGCGGGGGTGGGGATCAGAGACAGAGCCCCAGGCCCGCTGCTCTCTTTCCAGGCTGCTGAGATAGCCAACGAGAGTGGAAACTGGGCAGCGTCCTATCACCTGGCCCGCCAGTACGAGAGCCAGGAGGAGGTGAGGCAGGCCGTGCACTTCTACTCGCGGGCGCAGGCCTTCAACAACGCCATCCGCCTGTGCAAGGTAGGCGGGGCAGCGGGCACGCAAGTCGGGCAGGTGGACAAAGGGGCCCCTGCTGTTGCCCACGTTCACACAGAAAACGTGGAGAACAGTATGGTGTGTGCCATGTCCCCCACCCTGGAGACCTGCACCTTTCCACTGCACCTGCTCCCGCTGGTCTCAAGCCCCCTGGCGGTGTTTGTGAAGTGCCGAATTCTGATTCTCGCTGAGAAGTCCTTAAGCTTCCACGGCTTTCCAGCAAGCACTCAGGCTGGCTCGTTGCTCGTGGCCTGTAAGCAGCAGGAAGGACGTTCTGCATGCGTGAAAGTGTTCCGATCCAGGGCTCAGAGAGCAATGTTCTGTTAATAGAAAAAGAAGGAAGCCTCCCAAAATGCTGGTACACAGACCCCATGTAACAGTCTGACACTGGTTAGAAACCATCGTCATGGGATGCCTGGGTGCCTCAGTCATTAAGCATCTGCCTTCTGCTCAGGGTCCTGGGATCCAGCCCTGCGTCGGGCTCCCTGCTCAGCGGGGAGTCTGCTTCTCCCTCCCTCTGCTGCTCCCCCTACTTGTGCTCACTCTCACTCACTCTCTCTCAAATAAGTAAATAAAATCTTAAGAAAGGAAGAAATAAACCATAGTCACGTGGACCTGCAGCATGCCAGAGTTGGGGTGGTGGGCTCCCCCAGGGCACCCTTAGCAAACGCGCACAGGAAGCCCTGGGCATCCCCCACCCCCCACAGGAGAATGGCCTGGATGACCAGCTCATGAACCTGGCTCTGCTGAGCTCTCCTGAGGACATGACTGAGGCGGCGCTCTACTACGAGGACAAGGGCGAGCACATGGACAGGGCGGTCATGCTCTACCACAAGGTGAGCGAGGGCAGGGACCCCAGGGCCTGTCTCAGTATCTGCCAGGGGGCCACTCGGTGTTCTCGCGACCTGGGGCTTGGGCGCTGCTCAGATTGCGCACCGTCCACAGGCCGGCCACTTCTCCAAGGCCCTGGAGCTGGCCTTCGCCACCCAGCAGTTCGTGGCCCTGCAGCTCATAGCGGAGGACCTGGATGAGAGGTCGGACCCCGCCCTCCTGGCCCGCTGTTCAGACTTCTTCACTGAGCACAGCCAGTACGAGAAGGCAGTGGAGCTGCTGCTGGCAGCAAAGAAGGTACGGTTGGCAGTCCCCGCTCGGCACCCCCTCGGGCACCCAAGCTGGGGGCTGCCTTTTCCAGACGCGGTGGAGGTGGCTTTACCGTCTCTCATGGTTACGATATCACAAGAAGGCCGTGGCTCCCACCTGCCCTGGGTGAAGGAGCGCTAGAAGCAGGCTCGCCTCACATAGCCGGTCCAGGGGGACACTCGCTGCCCATTTCATAATCCCCATAACTAGGGAGGTGAACTCATCCTTTATGTGTGTGGTAAAGTACACGTAATGTAAAAGTTACCATCTTCGCTGTTTTTTAAGAGTACAGCTCAGTGTTGTCAAGTATGCTCCCATCATGGGGAGAGCCGTCTCCGTGCACCTGCTTTCATCTTGCAAAGCTGAAATGCTGTCCCCGTCAAACACCAGCTCCCCAGCCTCCGCACCCACCATCTACCTTCTGTGTCAATGCATTGGACCACTCCAAGGACCGTATATAAGTGGAATCCTACAGGATTTGTCCTGGGTCCAGCTTGTTTCCCTGAACGTCACGTCATCGGGGTTCATCCGTGTGGTAGCAGGTGTCAGGATTTCCTTCCTTTTTTTTTTTTTTAAGATTTTTTTATTTATTTTAGAGAGAGAGAGAGAATGCGTGCACACAAGTGGGAGGGGCGGAGGGAGAGAGACAGAGAATCTCAGGCAGACTCAGTGCTGAGCACAGAGCCTGACGCAGCTAGGTCCCATGACCCTGAGATCATGACCTGAGCCAAAACTGAGAGTCGGATGCCTAACCAACAGCCACCCAGGTGCCCCAGAATGTCCTTCCTTTTTAGGGCTGCGTGATGCTGCGTTCGTGTGCACACTGCCTCGGGTCTGCCCATCCGCAGACACTGGGTGGCCTCCATCTCTTGGCTCTTGTGAATAGCGCTACTGTGAACACGGGTGAACACATATCTCTTCAGAACCCTGCTTTCAGTTCTTTCGGGTGTTTACCCAGAACTCGAATTGCCAGATCATCTGGTAACTGTTCTAGTTGTTTGAGGGACCTCCAGACGCCCTCCCTCACGGCTGCCCCAGAGCACATCCGCCCAGCCGCACACAGCGTTCCGATGCCACCACGTCCTTGCCAGCACTGTTTCTAGTGCTCAGTAGAAGCTGGACATTCTTTAAGTAGAAATATTCTCCCTGATAGCCACTGAATGGAGACATAGAAGATTGTTAGTCATGCAAAATTAGCCTGTCCAAATTGAAAGATCTTTCTTCCTGAAGCAGAATTATGCTTACAGTTGAGTGGCTCACTGGTGAGCGACACAAGAATTCTTCAGCACATGTTCTAGAAAGACCCAGCAGATGCACGTGTCCACCCTCCCCAAGGCAGCCCCAGACCTAATCTGACCCCAGGAGAAACACCACTGGGCTTTCTCTAGCCAGATAAGTGGATTCTGTAGTTTTGCAGTGAAAACCAAATAAACCAGAACAGCCAGGAAAAATCTGGAAGAAGATTAACAAGAGGTGATTAAGCCCTCAGATTGTAAAATATATGACAGGTAGGATAATTGGGGTCCAGTGTATGATCAGGCGTACAGATCAGCAGAAAATATTAGAAAATCCAGACATAGAGCCACTTACACACACTCATCTCGTACATGCAGAGGAACATTTCCCAGCAGTGGGCAAAAGATGAGCCATCCAGTAAAGGGGGTTGATGCAACCAGGCAGCCACTTGGGAAAACACAAAGGTAAACCCTACTTATCTCCTGCGTCCTAGTAAATTCCAGGTGGGTCTGAGACGTGTGTCAGCAAAACCAGCCGCCACTCCATCGGAAACCACGGTATCTTGTACAATCTAAAGAGAAGAAAGGCGTCTTCTAAGTACGATTCAAAACCCAAATGCCAGTGGGAAGGACTGATCCATTCAGCCAAATGTAAATCTGAAAATAGCACATGGGAAAAAACACCACAAGAAAGTAAAGATAAATAATAAAATGGGAGAAAAAAACGTATCCTACCTCTCTCCCGAAGTGTAATTTTCCTAGTAGGTATGGAGTTCCTATGAACCAGGAAGACATTTGCCAGCCACTCAAAAGGAAAGAACAAAGACTATGGACAGTTTCTTTGAAGAAGGAAATGTGGGTGGTCCCAGCACATCAGATACTCAGCCTCATCCATAATGAGAGAAATAACAGGTGAAGATTCACGAAGACCCCATTGCCCTGAGTCAGGCCAGTGCAGGTGAAGAGGTCAGCAGGCCCGCTCGGGCTGGGTGCGAGCAGCACGCGGTGCCCGTCTGCAGTAGAACTCACAGGCCCCTCGACCCAGCGCTTCCCGTCCTTGGGATCCGTCCTCAGCACAACTGTACACACGGGAGAGGCACCCACACGCCGCTGTCCCCCAGTAAAGAGCCGCCTCCCAGGACACCAGTGTCCCGACAGAGATGGAACCACCTCTAAGACATACGCTTTCTGTCCAATACGTGTTCTTAAGTGAAGGGCATACGATTTCCCTTCAGTTTTCAAGATTAATCAAAACCCTTAGCTTAAAAATTTGAAACGAATTATAGAAGAAAATTAAGTTCTGGTTTCTTTTCCTCCCACAACCAGTGCAGTAGTCTTTTGAGCTCCACGTTCCCCTCGTTGCAATTCAGGGTGTCAGCAGTGTGAAAGTCACGGGGACGAGTGTTGGCCCTTGCCCCGCGAGCGCGTCCAGTCCCTGCCCCGGCGCCCACCCCCCAGGCCACGGGCCTGGCCTCCCCTTGCAGCCCGGCGCTAACCGCCCCTTCCTGCTCTGTGGCGCCTTGCAGTACCACGAAGCCCTGCAGCTTTGCCTGGAGCAGAACATGACCATCACTGAGGAGATGGCCGAGAAGATGACCGTGTCCAAGGACTCCAAGGACCTGTCAGAAGAGTCTCGGCGCCAGCTGCTGGAGCAGATCGCCAATTGCTGCATGCGCCAGGGCAACTACCATCTGGCCACCAAGAAGTACACGCAGGCAGGGAACAAGCTGAAGGTGAGCGTGGGCCCGGGCTGGAAACGGCGTCCCCACTGCTTGGGTTACCCCTCTGGGGATGCGCTTTCCCAGCCTGGGCTTCCGAGGACGAGGGCCCCACAGGACAGAGGAGCCCTGATCTCCCTCTTGTGGTGGAGTCCTGCGTGAGCGTCCGGGGAGAGGTGGCAGGAGGGGCACGGCAAGCACAAGGTCCGAGCCCAGACCCTGCCCTTCCTCGGGCCCTTCCTCGGGCTCGCCCTCTGTCTAGGCCATGAGAGCGCTACTGAAATCTGGGGACACGGAGAAAATCATGTTCTTTGCGGGCGTCTCAAGGCAAAAGGAAATCTACATCATGGCCGCCAACTACCTGCAGTCCCTGGACTGGCGGAAGGAGCCGGAGATCATGAAGAACATCATCAGCTTCTACACCAAGGGGAGGGCCCTCGACCTGCTGGCTGGCTTTTACGATGCCTGTGCCCAGGTACAGACCCTCCTCCCAGGGCCAGGACCCCCAGGAGGGTGGTGGGGCCCCGGGGGCCCTGACGGGTCTCATCCATGCAGGTGGAGATCGATGAGTACCAGAACTACGACAAAGCCCATGGGGCACTGACAGAGGCCTACAAGTGCCTGTCCAAGGCTAAGGCCAAGAGCCCCCTGGATCAGGAGACCAAGCTGGCTCAGCTGCAGAGCAAGATGACACTGGTGAAGCGGTTCATCCAGGCCCGAAGGTGTGTCCAGAGCAGAGTGGGGAAGCAGGGACACAGAGCCCCCCAGGCTCCTCTCCCTGCTGGGGACCAGACCAGTTTCACTTGCTCACTTGCAGTGAGCAAGTGCAGAGGAGTCTCAGAGGAGTCCCGTGGACCCTAAGTAGGACACGTGGACATTATGTTGCCTCCTTCTCGATGAGCTCCTCCTGGGGAATTCCCCAAACCTGGGCGCACCGCCGGGAAGACTGTTCCAGAAAAAAAACAGAAGTCTGGGGTGGGGGCGGTGAGGCAGATGCAAGTCAGGAGAGTGTGTATCTGAGGGGAGCCTGGGACCTGCTCAGGTGTGTGCAGGGCTCAAGCTCAGTGGTTTGGAGCAGGCGGGCCACTATACCACCTGGGGGCCACAGAGACTGTGGGAAGGAGGCTGGGGGCAGCATGTTGTTGCTATTTTTAGGAAAGACTATGCATCTAAATTTGGACATGAGGCCAGTTTTTATCTATTGGCAACTCGTCCAGCTTTTCCAAGAGCCTGCAGTGTGGGCAGCAGAGCTAAGCTTCTGCCTAAACCAATGAAAGCATTTTCCTTCTCTGAGAACAGCTTTTAGAAGAGAAGTTCCAGAAACACTTTGAGCACTGTTGTGTAAAATGCAGCTCCCTGCTTGGACATGTAAATTCTGGAATATCTGCTGAGCTTGGGCTGCGGTGGGGAGAGAGGGGGGCAATGGGCAGCAAGGACCATACAGCGTCAGGACTGGGCTTCCTAGAGCGAGAGCCTGAGCCCCTCCTCCCCACAAGGCCCCTCCGGGTCCCTCTCCCGCTCGCTCCCTCCCCCGCTTGCACACCGCCCGCTGGCCTTCGCTCATGGTCACCCCCTGCCTGACCACCTTGGGCAGGGTGCCCCGCATCCCCCTGCATCACAGTGATCCCCTCCAGACTGAACCAGGCAAGGACTGGGTGACAGGCTGAGTCTGGTGCGGTACCAGGACTGTGAGCGACCAGTAAGTTTTTATTCAATGAATCAGCCAGTTTATGAATGAACTCGTTAGAGAATTTGTTTAATTCATGGGCGTTGACTTCACAAAAGTTCCGTCCTGCCCATGCCAGGAGCTCCTCATTCAGGCCACAAGCCTGCTGTGCCCCCTGACCCGTAGTGGGGTTCTGCTCTCGGCAGGACGTACACCGAGGACCCCAAGGAGGCGGTCAGGCAGTGCGGGCTGCTCCTGGAGGAGCCGGAGCTGGAGAGCACCATCCGTGTCGGGGACGTCTGTGGCTTCCTGGTGCAGCACTACCTGCAGGCCGAGGACTTCCAGATGGTGAGGCCTTGGCGGGGCTTGGGGATGACTGGGGGGAGGCCCTGCCGCTGCTACTGGCAGTCCCCACTCTCTCCGCCCCAGGGAGCTGCAAGCTCACGGCGAGGAGGTGCTTCTCCTGTCGCGGTGTTTGACTTTTTAGGCTTTTTTTCTTTTGAAATGATTTCAAACTGAGAAGCTACAAGAATAATAGAACCTGCATGTACCCTTTACCAGATTCAGCAGTTTTCAGCATTTTGCCACATTTACTTATTCTATATGTATGTTTTTATATTTCTATTTGATATTTTATACATAAAGTGGGTATTTTTCTGAGTGATATGCGAATTGCAGGCGTCCTTCCCTTCCCCCTCAGTTCACTAACACTTGGTTGGACACCTAGAGGTGGGACGTGGGGTCATACAGCCAGCGCGTTTCACATTTTCAGAAACTGCCAGACTTTTTTTTTTTTTTTTTAAGATT